GCTTTCAATAAGCTTAAAAACTTGCTAACGGAAGTGCCTGCACTGGCCTTACCAGATCTGAGCAAAGAATTTGACCCATATGTTTATGAAAGACAGAGAATAGCTATGGGAGTGCTAACCCAAATGTTGGGACCCCTAAAAAGAGTGGTAGCCTATTTCTCAAAACAGTTAGACATAGTGGTGATGGGACAGCCCCCATGCTTGAGAGCTGTAGCTGCCACCTGCCTCTTAATGAAGAAAGCAGAAAAACTGACTATGGGCCAACCCATGACAGTGTGGACACCCCATCAAGTCTCTAGCCTACTAGAGACTAGAGGACATCTATGGCTATCCCAGAATAGAATACTGTGATATCAAGCTGTGCTGCTAGATTCTCCTGCTATTTCCTTAAAGCCCTGTCATACCTTAAACCCAGCTACCCTGCTCCCTGATTACAATGGACCTATTACCCATGTTTGCCTGGAAGTGATTGATCAGGTTTACTCTACTGCACAGATCTCCAGAATGAACCATTGCCTAATGCAGAGGAAGTACGGTTTGTAGATGGGAGCAACTTCATGAATAATGGACAAAGAAGAGCATGTTATGTAGTAGTGTCTCTGCATGCAACCATAGAGGCCAAGGGGCTGACACCAGGCACCTCGGCCCAAAAGGCAGAAATAATTGCATTAACCAGAGCTTTGGAATTGGGAAAAGAAAAAACAATAACAATATACACAGAACCTAAATATGCTTTCTCTGTAATTCACAGTCATGGAGCCATTTGGAAAGAAAGAGGACTCCTTTATAGCAGCAGTAAAGAAATTAAACATGGGCCAGAGATCCTTAAACTGCTGGAAGCAGTACAGGTCTCCCAGGAAGTATTGGTGGTCCACTGTAGAGGCCATCAAAGTGGGGAATCAGAGGCCATAAAAGGGAATAACTTGGCAGCTGCAGCTGCACAAAGGTCCACTATATCAGGAGAGCTTCTCCAATTGCCATTAATCCCCACTCCACCCTTCTAAGAGTTTACTCCAGTGTATTCCCCTGATGAAGTAAGGGAAGCCATGACACAGCGTTATCAGTGGTCCCCAATAGTTAAGGGCTGGATGATAAATGCACAAGGGAAGATTTGGGTCCACAAACAGACAGCTTGGGGGGTCCTTAAAAGTGCTCATGATTCTACCCATTACGGAAAAGATGCCTTATACCTATGGCTGATGAAGGTCATAAGCACCCCAGGTACAGAGGAACTCATTGAAAAAATAACTGGACAATGCATTTATTGCCAGAAGAATAATGTACAAACCAGAAGAATAATGTACAAACCTGGCCAAAGCAGCTCAAATTAGGGGAACTTTACTGGGGGAAGACTGGTGAGTTGATTTTACTTTTATGCCCACAGCCACTGGAGGATACAAATACCTCTTGGTGTTTGTGGATACATTTACCAGATGGATTGAAGCCTTTCCTTGTAGGTTGGAAAGGGCAAATGAAGTAACAAATGTGCTATTAAAAGAAATAATTCTCCATTTTGGGTCACCTAAATCAATTCTGAGTGAGGATGGGCCAGATTTTATATCAAAAATAACCTCTGAATTAGCCAGAGTTTTAAAAGTTAAATGGGGGCCGGCCCCGTGGCTTAGCGGTTAAGTGCGTGCACTCCGCTATGGGCAGCCCGGGTTCGGATCCCGGGCGCGCACCGACGCACCGCTTCTCCGGCCATGCTGAGGCCGCGTCCCACATACAGCAACTAGAAGGATGTGCAACTATGACATACAACTATCTACTGGGGCTTTGGGGAAAAAAGGAGGAGGATTGGCAATAGATGTTAGCTCAGAGTTGGTCTTCCTCAGCAAAAAGAGGAGGATTAGCATGGATGTTAGCTCAGGGCTGATCGTCCTCAAAAAAAAAAAAAAAAAAAAAGTTAAGTGGAAGCTACATGCCTTATGGAGACCAGAGTTGTCTGGAAAAACTGAGTGAGCAAGTAAAACTTTAAAGAAAACTCTGGCTAAATTGTGCCAAGAGACACAAGAAAATTGGTGACAACTACTGCCAAATAACCCTCACTCAGATAAGGGCAGCTCGAAAAGGCAAACTGAAGATTAGCCCCTTTGAAATGACCTATGGTAAGCCTTCTCTAAAGACTCAGATTTGCTCACAAACTCAGACCCAGAGGTTTCCATGGCAATAAAACACATAATCAATCTGAAGCAGGTGGTAGATGCACTCAATAAGTAATAAACTTTTGTCTTCCCTTGCCTACGGAGGTCAAACTTCACCTATACGAACCGGGAGATTGGGTCTATCTTAAAACTTGGAAAAGAGGTTCATCCCAAGATCAGCTAAATCCTATTTGCATAGGGCCTCACTCGGTGTTACTAACCACACATTCTTCCCTAAAATTAGAAGGAGTCACCCCTTGGATCCACCACACATGGGTAAAAAAGGTACCCACTCCTGAACATCAAGAGATATCGTTACAGACAACTGACTCCGAGTTTTCCTGCAAACCACTCTCTGATTTGAAACTCTTGTTTCAGTGACACCATGCAGGTAAGTAATGACCAGCTATCCACCCCAGGCTCTGCCCTGGACCCTAACAAACCCCATACCATTTAGGCATTGTATACTTCCAAGGAGGTTGCATGTTTCTGGGCAGCAGGACTAGGTCCATCAGAGATATGGGCAACCCAGTATCTAGACTATAAAGAGCTGATGGAATCTAGAGGGGGAAGGGCAAGTATGCCCAGATACTAAACACATTGAGGTCATAAAATTACAGATGGTTGCTACAAACAACTTGGGGCTATGCATCTGGTGACCCACAAACCTATTTGAGATTGGCTGAAAATTCTGGTCCTCTACTGATCACAGGAAGCAGGAAGCAGGAAGCAGTTACAGAAGACAGACCTTAGACCTGTGACCCTCAAGAATGAGGAGCAGGATAAAACTAGAGGGGAGATTTATCACCGACTAGGTTCCTGGAGAAACTCAAAGGTGGGTTTGGAAGCGATTAACAGTTTTTCCAAGTTGTTTCTTTTCCTCTGTATGTTAAGGAGATGTAAAAACCAGCCATCCTGAAACTGACCAAGCCTCACCACAAGAGCTATGCCCACGACCTTTGCCTTATTTTTAACACAAAGATCTCTCCAGGAGGAGCTTAGGCCTCGTTATGTGGAAGCATGTTCTTCAACTGAGCCTGTGCAAGCAAATACCTGCCTCTCCCTTTTGAATATTCATTTCCCAACTGAAATAGAAGTTCCTGCTTCCCTTTGTTTAGGGATGCCATAACTTTGGAAATGATTTCTCATGGCCTCCTATTTGCTGCAAATACACTTTACCTTGTGAGACAACGTCCACTGGTGTAGAGTTTTATTTAACTCACCAGGAGGCAAGCCCACTTGGTTCGGTAATACTCAGAGCATGTGTAAAGCAAGAGAAATGGCCACATGTGTGAGACTTGACTGGAGGAGGTGCTACCCAAAGCAAGAGCACCCATAAGAAAGAGACTGACGTGGGATGCCAGATCCCCAGGGGCTTTGCATTGAAAATTAGGAGAATTTAAAACAGGATTCATGCATTTATTCCAGCATTCAGTCACGGAAAGCTGTGCTGAGAATGTGCTCTGTGCCTAGCCCCACCCTTGTGTGGTGATGGAGAAAGGTTGGGGACACGGCCGAGGAGATGGGTGGATTCTGTGTGCTAAATGAACATGATAATTAGGAGCATGATTTGTGGTTAGAGACTCGTGTTCCGATGGCCTTTCTCCGTTTCTCAGCAGGATTAATGTGCCAGAGTGACGACAAGCAGTGACTCACTGCTGCATCAATTTGGGAAAACTGACAACCTAACCATATTGAGTCTTTCAATCCATGAACATGGTATATATCTCCCTGTTTTCACATCTTCTTTCAATTCTTAAAGTAATACTTTGTATTCTTTCAATGTACAGGATTTGCACCTATTTCATTCGTTTCATAGTTTCATGTTACTATAATTGCATCTTTAAAAAAATATTCAATTGCTAATTTTCCTTAGGCAATACACAGCATAGAAAAGGAATCTTTTCGTTAGAACTAATATCTTAATACCTTGCTAAACTCTTTTATTGGTTTTAGCAACTTCTTTGCAGATAAATTTACATTTTGTATGCCCACCACCATGTTGTCTGTGCATAAAGACTCTTTTACTTCTTACTTCATGATCTGGAGAGCTCTTATTTCTTTCTTGCATTCATTGAACTGGGAAGGATCTGCAATATATTGTTGAACAGAAGTGGTAAGGGCAGCCATTCTAGCCTCATTTCAAATCCTAGTGGAGAAGGCTGTGTGGCCTCTGTGACAGGCCCCGCCAAGCCTTAGGAGAAACTATTAGCAGAAACTTTCTGCAAAAAACAGCCAACAAAAGTCCTGAAACAAGCCTGGGTTCTGAGTTCACAAAAAGCTTCACCTCAGGACCCTTGTTTGCTGTTTTTTTTACATACCTTTTCATGGCTCTTGCACAATAATCTGATTAGAGGGATGATGCCCCTGCTTTGCAGAACAGTAAAGTGACCCACACAGAGATAAAGAGACTCACTCACAAAGTGGCATAGATGGATTAGAACTCAGTTCTTTTGGACACAAGTCCTATGGTCTTCCACATAGACTAGGTGATTCATACCATTGCCAAAAAGGCCATTAAGTTTAAATAATCGGAGGCTGAGCATTATGAGCTGAAAATTGTCAAATTAATAAGTTGAAATCTGAACCCCCAGGACCTCAGGATGTGACTATATTAGGAGACAGGGTCTTTAAAGAAGTAATTCAGTTGAAATGGAGTCATCAGGGTGGACCCTAATCCCATACACTTGGTATCTTTTCAAGAAGAGGAAACATTTATAAGAAGAGGGAAGACCGTGTGGGAAGATGGGAGGAGACAGCTGTCTGCAAGCCCAGGAGAGAGGCCTCGGAAGGAACTAACCCTGCTGACTTGTTGGTCTCAGATTTCCAGCCTCCAGACTGTGAGAAAATAATTCCTCACTTGTGTGTCTTGATCTCTGCGTACTCGGTGTTGGTCCCTTTTTGTTTGTGGGGCTTGTGAAATGTGAGAAAAGCATAGTGGAGCTCTGGTTCCTCTCCTGAGATGGGGCTCGCCCCAGCAGGGGCTGGGTGGTCTGAAGGGGAGTCTGTCCAGAACTCGTGCTGATCCGCCTGAGTGGAAGGAAGAGAAAGATTCGGAGCTGGGCAATAGGGTCAGGGAGAAAGCAGCTAAGACCAGAATGGGATTGCTGAGGGAACTTTGATCATTTTCCCCTTCATTTGTTCAAAAATAGTTAATAAGTAGCACTGTCCAATCCTCAGTAAGTATTTATATTAGTCATATTATATTCTAAAAACAAATGCTGGGAGAGGATGTGATTATCATTTTCATCTTACAAATGGTAAAACTGACGCTAAGAGAGATTACATGCATTGAGCTGAAGACACATGTCTCTATACATGCACCACTGAGCCAGGACTCAAATCCAGCTCTTTCTCACTATGGCGCCATCCTCTGTTGGGACCGTGTGCCAGGTGCTGTGTGTGGAGTGATGAAGAAAGCAGACCCAGCCCCTGACACCATGCAGCTGATGGTTTTCTAGGACAGGCAGTTACGAAACAAATAGAAAACAAGTACAATTCAAGTTCTCAATTTGGGATGCGAGATATTTTGGAATATAAAGCAGGGGCAGTGGCCGCATACCCAATTTCCAGACAGATCCTAGAAGACAGAGCAGAGAGCAGGTCCTGCAGGAAAGATGGCCCCAAACACCTCCCCCATATCTGCTTCCCGCCCACAACACCCTCAGGCTGCAGATGCATGAAACAGAAACGCTCAAACAGCAGCACAGAGAGACAAAGACAAACATTTCTGAGGTCAGGAGGAAAGGCCTTCACTATTGAAGGGCAACTAGAAGAGAGGGAGAAGGCTGCCCAGAGTGGGCAAAAGAAAGATGAAAATCAATGACGGATCAACTGTGCTAATCTACTGCAGCCAAAACACGGGAAAGAAAGAAACGGGTCTGTGAATAATCATGGCTACAGTATTTGCATATGGATGAACCTCACCCATCAAAAGACACAGACAGAGATTTTAATAGAAAATGTTTTCCAGCACTATGATTATTAAATCATTCGTTCCAGAAATATTTATTGAGTACCTGCTGTGAGTTATGAGTCAGGCATTCCTCTAGGCCCTGAGAATGCAACAGGGAATAAAACAACAACACCAAACCGCCCTGGGGACTCGCTAGAGGAGGGAAGGATTCTGATCCTTAGTAATGAGTCCTGTGCTCAGAATGTGCCAGGTGCTGTTTTAAGTACTCCCCACAACTACTCTGTGACACAGGTTCTCCTTATATTCCCATGTCACAGAAAATAAACAGAGGTCAGAGAGGGCACATCATTTGTCCAGGGTCACACAGCATGTCAGTAGGGAAAGGGGATTTGGATGCGGGTCATCTGGCTCTGGGGCACCTGCTTTCAACCACTAATCTCTACTGACTTCAAGAGACATTCATTAAAAAAAAAGAAGTTTACTGAAAATTTGAAAGTAAAGCAATGGAAAAGGTATAACCTGATTCCTGACATCCACGATTCCTGGCCCCACGATTCCTCATGTGGACTTCGCACACAGTGAGGATTCCATTCCCCAAGATAGACCAGAGGAAACAATATAGGGAATTAAGAAAATTGAATGAAAAAAAATGATTTTCTGTCTCCTTGATAGACCCGTTACTGAGAGAGAAGTTTTGAAATAATCAACTGTGATTGCGGGTGTGTCTACTTCTCTTTGCAGCTCTGTCAGTTTTTGTTCATTTTTTTTGATGAGCGATGCTCAGTTATTGGGAGCATACATGTTTAGGATTTTTATATCTTTCAATGAGATGATAGAAGCCAGATATATAGAGCAAATATTGCAGGTTCCATTTATATGAAGTTCTGCAATAGACAAAATTAGTCTATCGTGATAGGAATCAGTGATCACTGGAAACCAGGGGTTGACTGGGAAGGGGAACAAGGGAATATTGGGGAGTGATGGAAATGTTTCATGTCCAGATTGGGTCATGGTCACAGGGTGTATCCATTTGTCCAAATTCATTTAACCATATACTTAAAATGGGTGCATTTTATCCTATGTAAAGTATATCTCAATAAATTCAGTGTTGATATTAAATAAACATGGTGATAGATTGGAAAATGCAAAATGAGGTGATGAATTGTGACTTTGGGGTGCCCGGGCTCTCTATCCTAGAGCCCATGTCCACCACTCTCCTTGTAATCAGCGGCTCTGACACAGACTAGGTTTGGGCCATTACTCTTTCCCAGTGATACACACCAGAAGAAGAGGCTAATATTCCAGGGGATTACGATCATCAGACAAATAAGGCATAAACACCCCCAACAAACCCACTGGACTACATAGTTACCCCACCAGACGTAGACACATCAGAGCAGTTGAGTCAATCATATAAAATGTCCACATGTGAAACTCTGGGCAGTGTTGGATGTAAAAGGGAAGTTCCTAAGGGCCCTTACTGAGGCAGCATCCACCAGGGATAATGTTGAAAGGAGCCCATGTCGCCACACTCACCCCGGAACCTAAACCCTCGTCTGGGTTCACGTCGTCCATGCTCTGCACTGGCTGGGCTGCCTTCTTCCTGCAAGTCTTCACTCTAAGGGAACAGCCCAGGGCATTTCAGCCTGGTTATTTGGGGCACTGAGAAGGCAGACAACCCTCTACTCCCTGTAAAGACCATGGAAGTGCTGAATGAGGTAGACAGAGATGGGGTCCTTCCCCCGGTGGTCCCTTAACCCAAAGGCTGGACCAGGGCTGGGAAGATACCCCATGGTTGCCTATGTTGGTTATGAGCTGATTCACACCACCACTCAACCTCCCTTTCCTGGATCCTGGCTTTCCAAGCAGTCCAGGTCCTCTGGCTCAGGGTTTCTGAGAGTCTGAGACCTTATGCCCTTCCCACCAAAGGCATCTCCCTCTGTCTCTGGAGCCCACTCTCAACTGAAGAAGAGACAGAGGCAGAGAGAAAGCAGGGTGATGATGCCAGCTCCCCCGACTGCTCCCAGGACCCCACTGGCCCTGGGTTCTGGTTTACCTGTAGATAATTGGACTTTAGGGTAAACTCCAACCCCAATACATGGCATCCTCCCAACTGGCCACTTCTCTCCCTTTATTCCCTTAGTGTACCCACTCCCCAAACAGGACTCAGTTGCTCTGCATTCCATTACCCTGTAGACCCTGGACCCGCCCCTTCTCCTGGCCACAGGACTGAGGATTTTACACCCCCAGCCACTCTGATCCAGGCCTTGGGGTGTCTCTCCTCCAAGCTCCATCTCTCTGGGCCTGTTACGTGTTAAATTGTTCCCCCCCGCCAAAATTCATTATGTTGAAATTCACCCCTGCTCACCCGTGGCATATTCCCTGCCCCGTACCTCAGAATGTGACTTTATTTGGACACAGGGTCTTTACAGCAGTTATAGTTAAAATGAGGACATTATGTTGAGCCCTAATCCAATATAACTGATGTCCTCATTAAAAAGGGGAAATTTGCACAAAGAGAGGGAGAATGCCATGTGAAGATGAAGGGGAGATGCTTCTACAAGCCAAGGCATGACAAAGTTTGCCAGCAAATCACCAGAAGCTGAGGGACAGGCCTGGAATAGATTCTCACAGTCTCAGAGAGAACCAACCCAGCTGACACCTTGATCTCAGGCTCTGGCCTCCAGAAATATGAGATGATACATCTTTGCTGTTTATCCCCTTGTTTGAGGTACTTTGTTACAGCAGCCCTAGGAAACTAAAACAAGGGTCCTGGCTCCTCTTTCCCGAGGCGTCACCCCTCAGCTGACCATTGACCTGGCAGCAGCAGGACAGTGGCAATCTGGGCTCCATGGACATTTGCAGCCTCGCAGCTGAGTCTGAGGACAGAGCTGAGCCCCCCACTGAAGCTCAGGGAGCTGTTGGCCCAGGGCCTGGTGGAGCTGGAGGTGACCGTGAAGGAGGCGTTGCTGCTGTTCTCCTCCAGCAGACCCTCCCCCAGCCACCAGTGCAGGGAGGGGGCCGGCTGGGCTCGGGATGAGCAGCCACAGTGCAGACCCTGGTCCTCCAAGGAGCAAGAGGGTCCCAGCAGTTGTGGGGGGGTCTGTGGGGAGGGAGGTGAAGGTCAGTAGTGCCTCTGCCCTCCACAGGACCCAGGTGTCGTGCCCCGGGGGTCCCCACACTCACAGGCCATGGAGAGGCTCACAGATATATTTTGGGAGCCCAGCGGGTGCTGAGTGAGGCAGGTGAAGTCTCCTCCTATAGTTCCTATGGAAGGCAGCTCCAGGATGGTGGTGGTGGTTATGGGTGTGGCGTTCAGGGCTGGGGACCCCTGGAACAAGCTCAGCTCTGCAGGGGGGTTGCTGTCAGCCACACAGAGCAGCCGCACAGCCTGGCCCTCCAGGACGGGAAAGGTCGAGGTGTTTTGCAGGATCTTGAGGGCTTTGGAGAGAGAGATGCAGAGAAAGAGAGACAAAGACAGAGAGAGACAGGGTGGGCGAAGCTGGCATCTCTCTCCACACTAACTCTGAAGAGGGGACTGGGAGAGTCAGGCCTCAGGCCTTCAGAAGAGGCCCAGAGGATTTCCCTGAGCTGCTCAGAGTGTCGGGCAGATGGAGGACAGAGAGCTCAGGACAGGGATGTAGTGAACAAATGCAGTTAATGGACCGACGAGGGGCTATGGAAGCAGGAGGAGGTAACGCGTCAGAGAGAAGGTGAAACAAGAGGGATGTGATGGCTTCCTTTGGATTTGGCCAGAGAAAGCTGTGGGTGAGAAAAGATTAACTTCAGGGGCTGGGATTTGTGAGGGCTTTCCCCTGTGCTCTCCCCACGTCTGACCTCAGTAGCTGGCTTCTCACTTATCTCTCACTTAGTCCCCAGACAATTGGAGCGCTAGATCCAGCTAAACCTGCATCCAGCCCAGCGCTGGAGAGAAAAAATTCTTTTTTACCTCTGCTGTTTCCTTGGGCAATGTTGATCACCATGTTCTGTGGAGCATCTGGAACAGAAGGATGTAGAAGCCTCAACATCCATGGAGACGGATGATGGGGACAGATGGATGGGCACTGGGCCTTTCTCCCCGGGACCCATGGAAACAGGTATAGGGGCACCCCTTCCTGTTGGACTAGCAGGACCCCTACATCAAGCTCTGGCCCAGCTCGGCCCTGGCCCCACCTCCTCAGAGACTCAGGTGTCCTGGACTAACACTCACAGGTGACGTTGAGCTGGATGGTCCTTTCCACAGTCACACCAGCTGCAGGGAAATTCACCTGACAGGTGAGGTTGGTGCCATGGTCCTGGGCCCGTGGGGTGAGAGTGAGCACAGAGGAGAGGAGGGTCCTGGGGCCCAGGGAGGTGAGAGCAGCTGACGTCCAGGAGAAGATGGAGGGTGTGCCCTGCTCACAGGCCCAGGACACAGAGCAGGTCAGGTTCCTGGGGAGGCCAAACTCCAGGCGCCCTGACATAAGGATTTCGGGCCTGTGGGTCAAAGCTGGTGAGGAGAGAGAGGACATTGGGGCCCCTTGGTGTGTCTCCAGCCTGCCCCAGGGTCTTTACATCGCCGTCCGCACAACTCCCCGCTCTCAGGAAGAGCAGAACCTTCATTTTTCTATTTCCAGTGCCTCACATTCTGGGGCCTTTCCCTGGGCCCCCACCATACCTGTCACACGCAGAGAGTGTCTTATCCTGATACGAGTTTTTCCTGTAGGAATTCTTCATGTGAAATAAGTATGTCCCACTGTCCCCCATGTTGACGTCTCTGATGCTCAGGGAGCAGTTGTAGGCCTGGGGGTCCCCGAGGAGGAAGAACCGGCCCTGGGTGCTCTCATACAGTTTCTGTTTCTCTTTGTTTGTGGCCACCAGAGAATTACGGTTTCTATCCGCCCCTTTCTGGAACCAAAACATGTGGAGGGTTCCAAAGACAGTCCAGGGATAGGAAAATTTGCAGGGCACGAGGACACACAGGCCCTCCTGCACTGTCACGGACTCCCATAGTTTCAGCTGGTACCTCTGATCCTGAGCCGTGGGCACTGGGGAGAGGGAGACACTCAGCCTGCAGCTCTGGTGCCTCCCAAGAGTGGGGTCACTTTTCCCCACAACTGCTCACCTCCCCACAGCACAGGCAGCAGCAGCATCAGGTGCAGCGACATTCTGTCCTCCTGCCCTAGGACAGTCTGCCTTCCAGGGTCCCTCTGAGAGAGAAGAGAAAGCCACAGCTGTGAGAGGGCAGAGGAAGCTGATACAGAAAGCCTGTGTTTAGAAGAATGGGCCACAAGCCCAAAAAAGAAACTTCAGACCACAGATTCAGCTGTGACTGCCCATTTGAGATCATCCGGGACAATTTCTGCCTGTGTGAAATGAACCCTGAAGCTCAGACAGGCAAGGGGCTTGCCCAAGTAACGCAGCAAGGAAGTACGAGAGCCCCCAAGTCCTGCCTTCTGGGGTCGTGCACGGTTGTCTCTACTAGAGAAGCAGGTCTCACGTGGCCAGCTCCCAGAGAGTCAAGAGTGCAGGGAGGGCAGCTTCCCATGAGGACAGCCAGGGAAGGCCTTTCTATTTGCCTATGAATGGGCCAGAAAAATCACATATAAGTTTTTAGCTATGGACTGAACTCCTCTGATGGTTCTATCCACAGAACTACCACCTCCTAGGAAGGTCACCTGGCACGTAGGGCCGGTGTCATGACCTTGAGACCCTAACATATGAGTGAGGACTTAGGAAAGGGGAGACGGCTTGGGGCCCAGGGGGGAGAGGAACGTCATCTTATACAAGCCGCTGACACAGTGCTATTTAGACTCCAAGATGGTTGCACTTCAGGTGAATGGGGTATAGATTTGGGGTGTCTGGTACAAGCTGGAGAGGAGAAAATGACTCAGACCCCAGAGTGTGATCCTGGGGGCAACCTCCACATTGGCCACGTGTCTCTCAGCTCTACAGTCCTGATCACCTCCCCCACCCTCCAGATATTGAGCAGTTGAGTTCCTGTCTCTGGGATTCTTTCCTGGGGACCCTTGACTACTTGTCACCTCCAGAGACAGTGTCATATATTGGGAGTCAGATTTCACATAATATTTCTCTATCCTAAAGTCTTTCCACTTTCCCACAACTTAGAAAATCTGATGCTCAGACAGCCACTGTGGGCCCCTGGGTCCTGAGAAGGTTGAGTCAGCCCCAGATTCTGTCTTACAGGTTTGATAGGTCTCTGGGTGAGGGGGATTATGGAAAAAATAAATATGCAAAAATAAACAAGTAGGACTACACTAAACTAAAAAGCTTTTGCACAGCAAAGGAAACCATCAACAAAATGAAAAGTCAACATAATAGAATGGGAAAAAATATTTGCAAATCATATATCTGATAAGGAGTTAATATCCAAAATAAGAACTCTGTTGGTCACCTCCAGGATCTGAAGGCCGGTGTCAAGTGGGCTAAAGTAGGTCCAGAAAATCCATGGGTTGGATTGGAGAATGGGATAGGAGGCACAGGCAAGCCCTCATTCATGGTCACTGGCTGAAGGTTACAGACTGTACCTGTACCATCCTCCAGGGTCCACTGCAGGAAACACAGTCTCTAATTGCAGCCCTGCCCAGAAATCTTCTCAGACCTGTTGCCCTCACAGTTGTGGCTGCAGCGGCAGCAGCATCTCTGGGCTGCAGAGGATCATCTAGATTCCCTTGATACCATCCAATGAGCCTCTCCCAGCTGGGAGGTGTGTGCGACTGTGAGGTGGTCAATGAGCTGGGGGCTCCTTCTGATTGAAATGTGTGGTTTCTGCCCCAAACTTTTCCCTTCAACAAGAATACCCCTCTCTCCCTCAAGCCACTGCAGGGGAAGTGAAAGCTGAGCTCTTCTCTCCTGAGACTACAGCAGGGTGGACCCCTCCTTCTTCCTGTACCCTGAAACCCCACCTCTCGCTTCCCGAGGACCAACCCCCACTTCCCTCAAGAGAGATGTGGAGTTTGTGGTCTGTTTTCCCCAGATAGGTTTCTTAGAGCCTCCCTCATAGGGACAGAGGAGAGAGAGACCAAGACTCTCCTGGGACCAAATCCTCTCTGTATGGGACCCACTCCAGGGCTGGAGCTCCCCAGAGGCCTCAGGAAGCATTGAGTGAACTCTTGAATTCAACTGCAGGGAGATAAACTATGGACAGAGGCTGGGACTGAGCCTGGAGCCCTGACTCCAGTGTCAGACTTGGGTGAGGTGTTTGAGTTCAGTGTGAGACAGAAATTGTGACTGGGTCTCTGTTCCTTCTCACATTTCCTGTGAGCCCTGCACATACATGTACAGAATATCTCTCCCCATCTTCTCCACAGCTCCTCTAGCTTCTGCAATTCTTCTTCTCCATGGGGTGACCACCTAGTTCCCCTCTCCTTACGTGTCTCCCTCTTGTAGCTTCTAGGTCTCCCACTGACAATGACCCATCTTGGATGTTGCAGAAGTCTTTTCCCAATCTCAGCAAGCTCCCTCATGTGCCTAAACACTTTGAATGTCTTCTATCACTTCCAAAGACAATGCTTCAGTCAGCCTCCTGATATTCCATTCCTTCATTTATCGGACAGATATTGAGGCATAATTTTTAAAATTTTTTTCAGGATTTGGCACAGAGCTAGAGGCAGTAAAGGACTATGAGTCTTGTTCCCTGTCCTCCAGAACTCCATTTTGGCACCAGACAGAGACTGAGAAGAGAAAGAGAGGAAGAGAGGATGGGGGGTGGAGGAGAGAGAGGGAGAGGGAGAGAGACAGAGATATCAGGCTGTTGGGGAGAGAGGCCCTTCTTGTCGGTAAGAGGCGGAAGAGGGAGGAACGGGGGCTTTCCTCAGACAAGGAGGGATTTCTGAGAAGACTGGAGGTGAAGTTTCCCCTGAGAGGCAAGAAACCAAGGGTGTGTGAGAAGTCCCTCTCTTATGGAATACAAAGTCCCATTCCCTGGGGGTGGCAAGGAGCCTGAGAAGGGCCGAACTAGATTGGAGGCCCTTATCCTGTTCATATCCACACTCAAGCCTCTCCCAGCTCCTCCACCAGGGTCTGCCCACAGGGGTAGAGGCGCTCGTTTCAGCCAAGACACAATGTGGTCCTTGGCGAGCCCCAGACAGTAGGGATGGCACTGTCCTGGGTGCTGAAGCGTAATTGGATCTCAAGTTTAGGAATAACTGGGCTGTTGGGAGAGGTCTGATTAGACAGGAACAGGATCTGGGCCTCAGGTCAGAAAAGCAGGAGAGTCAGAGGAAATGGACTGCCTACAAGGGAGAAAACTGGGAATAGACGGATCTTCTGGTCTGGGGGCTGAGCTTCCCCTGTGCCCCTTCTCCCTCCTTCTTTACTCTCCATAATGTCCCCGGGGCTTGGCCAGTTGCTGAATCAAAGCAAGCAGCAGCCCAATTCTAGACTTCTTATTATTCGAGAAAAATAAAGCCCTTTTGTTAAAATGCCTGAAAGTCAGCCCTTTTGTAACTTAGAGCAAAACGCTTTTCTAACTGATACAATAAGTGGGTTGTGGAGATGATTCCTCAAATTCCGTTTGAAGCCAACACGACATTTTCCAAAAGTGCCCCACTCATTTAAATCTCCCAACGGCACCTGAGAGTGCCTGGTGTGTCTGACTTTTTTTACTTTTGCTAATTCAAGATTAGAGAAATGGTATTATATCCTTTCTTTACTTTGCATCGATGTGATTATAAACAACTTGTCTTAACTATATTTTTATTAACTACAATCCTTCTTTGTGAATTATCTATTCAAAGTGTTTACACACAGGGACCTTGGAGTTTTCCTTAATGACGTCTCTAAAGATTTTAATCTCATACCTATTATTTACCTTAGAGAATAATATATTTTGCTAACAAAATGTGCATCCCTAAATTTCAAAGTTTGGGTTTTACTGTTTTTGACCATTGTGTAAATGGCAGGATCTGGTATACATTTCTTTCTGGCTACTTGCACTCAATATTAGTTTAAAAAAATTTATTGTAAAGTGTATAACGTACAGCAGAAGACACAAATGGCTAAGTGTGCAGCTCAGTGATTTATCACAAAGCAAACAGTCAGTTCACGAAATAGTTTTGCCAGCTCCCAAAACGCCTCAACAGTCTACACTCCCATGATCAGAGCAGGAGGTTCCTACTTACTCACAGCTCTGCCACACGTGCTGTTATCTGCCTTCTTGATTTTCTGGTCTGATGAGTATGGAGTAGTATCTCATTTCTGGTTGACTTTTCTCAAGTACCAGTGAGTTTGAGCATCTCAACGTGGACTTGTTTTCCATTCATGCTTCCACATTTGTGACATAAATATTCATGTCCTTTGTTTATTTTTATGTTGGCTTGTTTTCCTTTTTCTTGTTGATTCATAGAAGTTTTTGTACATTCTAGTTGAAAAGCTCTTGTGCGCTTAATAAAGGAAATGAATTCTCCCATTCTGTCATTTCTTGATTAAATTTGTCTGGATTGTCCCCTGACGGAAACCTTCATTTTGATGCAATCAAATCTATCACACAAATTAGTCTTTTATTTCTCTGGAATATAAAACTGAGTATTTCTTGAGCTTTAAAAAATATTATTCTCTCATTTATGAATATTGAGGTCCAGGGAGAAGAAGTACCGTAAAGTGTCATCAAAACATGAGTTTCAGAGGGGCTGGCCCAGTGGCACAGTGGTTAAGTTCACGTGCTCTGCTTCAGTGTCCCAGGGTTCATGGGTTTGGATCCAGGGCGTGGACCTATGCACCATTTATCAAGCCATGCTGTGGCAGGCGTCCCACACTAAAGTAGAGGAAGATGGGCGTGGATGTTAGCCCAGGGCCAATATTCGTCAGTAAAAAGAGGAGGATTGGCAACAGATGTTAGCACAGGGCCAATCTTCCTCAAAAAAAAAAAAATGAGTGTCAATGCATTAAAATTCTCTTATCTTGTCAATTTTTCCTACAATTTTTCCTGTGATATATATAAATGTGTGTGTGTGTGTGTGTGTGCATGTAATCATATAGATGACATTAGCCAAATGGTTAGAAAGCAAAAACTAGTGTAAACCCAACACAGATCAAATAATAAAACACTAATGACCACCCTCCACATGTCCCCTAGTGGATCTCTCTGTGTATCCCTACTAAAAGTATCCATTCTCCTGGTTTTTACTTGAACTGTTTCCATGTTTTCTTCAGAAGGAGTAGCCGTGAGCTGGGGTAGAGGCAGTCCAGTAGTCCCTGGGATGGGAGAAGTTGCAGGGCACGGAGATGCACAGACCCTCCTGCACTG